TTGTCGAGGCGGATGTTGTCGTGGTAGAGACCGTTCTGACCATAGCCGTGGATTTGGTTGGCTAATTTCATGAGCGGGCTTGCTCGCTCCCGCAGGTGATAGGCTTCCGTGAAGTTCTGGTAGTCGACCGTATCGGTCAAACCTTCCTTCTGCTTTTCACCCGCGAAGTCTTCAAAAGCCTGCTCATTCTTTGCCTCCGCCTCGGCTGCGGCCTTGGCCTCTGCCTCGAAAGCCCCTGGCTCCACGCGTGTCTTAGTCTTTCCCCAGATGCCCTGCTCGTAGAGGTTGTCATGATCGTTGGAGGCATCAGCGGAGAAATTAAGATCTGGCATAGGTACCTCTCCAGAGGGAGAGCTTCCTGTAGCGCGGTCGCCAGTAGCACCAGCATCGTCCATGCGCTCATCATCAGGATCGGCAACAGGCTCGAAAGTCGTCTGCTCTTCCTTTTCCACCTTTACACCAGATCCCTCTTCAAAGGAAGAGCCTTCTGGTGCATCGGTGTCCATTGGCGCACTGGAATCCGGTTCCTGCTTTGTTTCACCAGCCATCTCTCCAGAGGGAGAGTCCGCTGGTGGATCGGCAGGACCACTTGCTGGCTCCATGGGCTCATCGATTTCCTCGATGGTCGTTCCAGGAAGATTTGAGATGAACTCCTCCACCACGATGTCGTCAAACGGCCGGGTGTAGAGCTCGTCGATCTCCCGAGCACGTTGGGCACGAAGGTTCTCGTACGAGATGAGGTCAGCGTGAGCTTTCTTCGCAAAAGCCGAAGTAAAGGCGCCCACACCCATCTCTCGGAACTGCTTGTCCAACGCCGCAAGGACCAGAGACGCGTTCCAGGGCTCCTTGAAGAGTCGTACAGGGTGTACTTCTCAGGAGTCTGGATTTTGTATTTGCGTCTGACCTCGAGGTTCTGCCAGTGTTTCTGGACATAGCTGAAGAAGTCTTGCCCGTAGGCCTGGGAAACTGCAGAGACCACCGTGGAGAAATCAGCACGAAAAGCATGAAGCTCAGCCCACATGTCCCTTTCCAAACAGAAAGCCTCGTGTAGCTTAAGCTTCGTAGCATAGTCGGGGTCGTCCTGCTTGGGCTTCTTGCTCCGAGGATCGGAGTCATCAGGAATTTTGAAGCCAATGTCAGAATAGGACGGCGCGAACTCCCGGTGCTGGGCCTGATTGAGCTCCTGAAGGATCGTGGTAACATCGTTACCTGGACCATGGTCGAAAGGAGATTTGTAACCTTCAGAGTAGGCCTTCCCCTTAAG